GGGGGGGGGGGGGGGGTCCATAAGATTGATTTAATCAATTATTTGAGGTTTCTGAGGTGCGTCCACCCCGTCACTTAACTTGCTAAAGCAAGAGCAACTCCAGCTAGCTAAGGCTAGCTTTCGTGAATAGTCAAAGTAGGGTGCCATTTGCCTAGTCATACCCACTGACAGGCCAAGAAACCTGCACTTGGCCCGGCAGAAGGTCTGTATGTGGCACCTATGGCCGCCAACAGGCTACGGCCACGGACCCAGCACACACACAAATGACCAGCTGCCGGTCTTGACCAGGAGTGACCCTTCATCATCGATCTTAGGGGAATTGTTAGCATAGCGTAATCATATGTCGATTCTGAGACTCTCTCCATTCAGATCCATAATCCATAGAGGAGAAGCAGCACCAGCTAGCTTTCTGCTGTTCTTCTATCCTTGTTCTTGAGAGGTTTCGGCACCTGCATCTCGGCAGCGCCCACTAAGGCTGCGATGTCCTCTGAGGCCTCACCACCATTGAGTTCGGCCACACACGCCAGCTGCGACTTGAGCTGGGCCAGGAATGTTAAAAGGATCTCCGAATGCCTTAGCCGAAAGCACGAAATGGGTGGCCACCTAGTTCAAAAAGGCCTTAAGTTGATGGTGCTTGCAAATGCACTCAAAGAGTGAATTCTTGCACTATAGGGGCGACCAATGTACAGCCTGGTAGGAAGATCTTCCTCTGATTCGTTAGCTCAAAGAAACAGCCGGCCCCTATCAAACTGCACCAAAGCACTGGACCATGCTTGGACATAGGTTAGGCTTTGAGGACAGTCCCAACCAACGGGGTCGGTAGGAGCGACCAGACCCTAAGAAAACACTAATGCATACTCTATTTGGCCCTTTTGTCCCAGTTGAGTTACCACTGTCGGTGGATGAAATCTCGCACTAGCTCCAATAATTAGAAAGAGTGAAGATGTCAGGTACCTAGATGGAGAGCCATCCTAGCCGGCGCAGGACTTCCTCACTCAACAGTTTAGTTTCGGGATGTTTCGGGTCCAGTTGGATCTGACAAGTCAAGGTTGAATCTGAGACGCCACCCCGAGTGGTCCCCAGAATGGTCCCACTAGAAACACATACAACACAAACATGTCTACGAACGGACCAGTTCTAAAACCCAAGCTTTTCTTGTGTGTGGAGCACCTGTGTTCGGCTGGATTAAAGCTCCACAGGTCTCCATCAATGGCATCCAAGAGTCTCATGCTCCTGCAATGGGGGTCCATCAATGGCAGCCAAACGTCCAGGTTGCGCTCAAACCAAGTCACCCCGCTCAGAGGAGTTCATGTTTTGTTCACGTCAGGATGGAGGAAAGAACGAGAACTATAGTCCAGCGGTCACAAAACGGGGTGGGGTTTAGTCCCATCCAGTGAGTGGATGTTCTGGGCACCCCTAACCGACCTCCGTGGATCGCACCCCTTTGTTGTGACTGCTGGGTTGACGGCCTTTTCATGGTTGCCACATGGTCCGGTCCCGTCCGCGTGCAGAAAACCTGGTCGAACGAAAAACTGGTGGGACTGGTCCTTCACAGCGTTTCATAACCAGAAACCGACACCGCCGCTTTCAACACATGAAGCTGTACGTCTCCGTCTCGTGGGAGACGGACGACCTGCTTCCCGACCTGCTTCCCGCGCCGCGCCGGTTTTGGCCGCCTCTGCGTACTGCAAGAAAGGCTGGCTCTTGGGACCCGAGAGGTAGACTTGCACCCGTTTTCCTTGGAAGACGCCGCGTTTGGGTCGTAAACGGTGGTCCCGGTTTTGGTCGAAACCAGAGACCGACACGTAGCCTGTAAATCCCAAGCTGAAGAAACATAGAAGCTGGAGGTTTGGATGGAACCGACACGTACCCCAAATGGTACTCAAGTGCTGAAAGGGGTTCACACTTTCAGTCAAAACCCTGGGAATGTCTCAAAGATACTTAAATGTCTTAAAGCCCAGGTCTCCGGTGATCCAGGTCACCACGGTATCACTGCGATGAAGGTCAGCAAATTGGCGGATGGCCTCAACCACCTCCTCGGGACGTTGGAGCAAAATATGACAACATATGAGCGATATATCCATCCACCCACCGCCCCATGGTGGTCAAGTTGCTGAAATGACAGTGATTCGATTCTCGAAGCGATCAGGAGGCGAAGCGATTGTGGATTGACGTGTATTTAGCTCACCTTTTAGCGTCCAGCGTCCCTGCTTCTCGACCAAGTGACACGCGCAACTTCCAGAAAATGTGGCAGGCTTTTCCTTGGCAAGTCTCGTTCAACTGATTGATGTCCAAAGCTGTAAGCGCTCTCTTGTTTCAACAAGCATGGGAAACGCCATGCGGGTAATTAGTTAGAAAAATAGAACTAGCACCAAGGGTGGACCAACCGTGCATTTTCCAATTGAGACACACCAGAATTGATGCAACGGTTGTTCAACTTTCATATAAAAGATGTCACAAAATAAGACCGTCACCATATGTCACCATCAAAGGCAAAGCGTCATCACCTCACCATCTGAGAACTTAAAACTGTCAGGACCTCAGACAACTCGTGAGCTCAAAGGACTGCGGGTGTGGCATGGCGTGGCTGGATGTTCCTGAATAGACCTACAATTGACGGCAAAAGCTGCTACAAAGAATAGTGTTCCTAAGCAATTAGTGCGAATTCCAAGGCTCCAAGCAACTAGTTTGTGGTGTAAGTCCCCTACAAATGAGACTAAGCAAATGGGACAAACACTACCACTATTGATTTTGAGTCCTGCAGAAAATGGGAACCCATCACGCATTCCTTCTTTATTGTTTAGAGTCGCAAATGCTCTAAACTTAGAGTAATTGCTAAACATACACCATCTGCAGTCCCCAAGTTCTTTCAACAGCCGGATTTGCTTCAACAATATGACGTTATTGTTCCGCCTGTCTTGGAACTAAGGCTGTAGCCCTTGTCCGATTGCACAGCTCTAGCCATCAAAGTCCTCCGTCTGCCGGGAGCAGCTGCAAACGATGTGGCCAACGCGGCTGGCCATATGTGCCATATCGGGGTCTGCTGCTTATGCCTCCTTTGCCTCAAGCCACCAGCAAAAAAGCACAACTGTCCAACAGTGTGGCAGAAATCCTGAAAGAGTGAGGAAGTAATTACCTATCCTTAGGCAAGCTCTGTGTGCAATGAATACGAACCAAAACACCACCGCAGAGTTGGACGAGTCTCAGAGTTGGACGAGTTGGGAGCGTGGCCGGGAAAATGGAGGCCTTCGGCCAAAGGCCAGCGCCGAGCTCCATAGCGAAGACGGGCGATATGCCAGACACGGATCTGTCAAGCAATGATCATGTAGACATCATAATATGCAGACTGTCCAATTAACACGAAACTTCAATAGATGTGCTTCCCTACTCCGAGAAGTGAATCCCCTTGCATCATGTATTTAAACAATGTGAGGGTTTCTGGTGTCATCCATTCCCTCTCGGATCTATCAAACTTTGGCATAGAAAAGGCCAATCATGTCCTGGCAAAACTACAATGAATCAAGCGAGTGGTCCAAAAAATGCTGCCTTGTTTTGAGCCGGTATGCGAGGTGGTGACTCACCAAGGACTGAAGATGGAGAGCACACAGCTTCTGCAACCAGCTCCCCACCCCAAGCAAACACAAGTCAACCACTGAAGGTACAGGATATATATAGGCTGGAAGGTACCAGCCCCAGGAAGGTACCTTTTGAATACTTCTCTCCATCAAGTCTCGAGCATTTCCTTACCAACTCCAGTATGTACCATTGTAAACACAAGCCTTTGGATAGTGTATCTGATCCAAATACCTCTTTCCAAAGGCAACACACCCTTGAAATCTGGCCTGAACTCAGTCATGGTCCACAGCAGCACGCATAGCAAGGTTTTGCTTAGACCCAAGAGGAGTGGAGCGACTGGGTGCTCTGTCAATGTTCTTGATGGACCAAAGCACGCGAACACCTCAAATACCCGAGGTGTAACGTCGTCCATCTCAGCGCAGGTCGGTTTGACAAATTGCGTTCATCTCATGTGACCGACGTAGTTCAGAGTTTGGTGTCATTTTTCTGGAACTGGGAAAGAACCCACGTTCAAAGAGAAAGTCACATGTCAGAAGAGGCACTAATCCAAAGAGGTGTCTCCTTAGTGGTCACTCAATCATCTACTTTCTGCATGTCAGTGGTCAAGCTGCCACCCTGAGAAATCTGACTGAGGGTCCTTCATGGCACGTGCCGGGTCACCGTGAGCATGAAACGGCACGTCGCGGCCTTCGCTGCTCTCGGGCCCATGGTGTGACCAAACCTCGGCCCATGGGTTTGTCGACAAGCAATGAGTGGGTCCTCGTGGTGTGGCTGCAAGAAAGCTAGTACACTTTTAAACTTAACATGTTATAAAACATGTTTTAACATGCTTCAAGAACAACATGAGTTACAAACAAACACATCGTATAGCAATACATCGAAGAATCCATGCATCATTATGCATCATGTCCATTTCTCTCAGCTCATTCGCATTCACATCGCCATGCCAAGCGACCCCCCAAGCAACAAAGTTCAAGTCACCCAGGTGGATTGCTTCCTCACTCAATCTCTGGCTGTCAGCGTTCAAGAACTCACAAAGCCACAGCCAATGGAGACACATCAACACATCTCTGTTTTCTCTCGGATCGGTGCTTCATGGATTCGAAAGAAACATCACCCAGGTCCTGTCTCACTGCATGCCCTGGCCAAGCCTAGTCGGTTCATCCCCAAGGCGGTGCAGGATGAACCACACAGATCGAGCGGATCGAGGACTCATGAACAACTGTAGATCGCGGCCACATCAGGATGGAGCCAATGGGGTTTGACACTAGTTGAAGCCAATCGCCAAAATCTTTGATAGGTGCTTTGAGAAAGTTAATGGCTACTCTAGCTTGGCAAACATTGATTGTCCCTACACCTCGCGGCTATATGACTTCTGACTGCTGACTCTAAGATGCACATCTACGGTGTACATGTTGGCCTGTGAGCTATACACAGCATCGGCCTTATGATCACACTTGTTCACGTCGCACATTAGCCAGTTTCATTCGATTGGAGCACTTTGGCTTCTCCTCCATCCGTGATTCCCGTAACATGTCTTTGACAACCCTGCATTCTGGTTGACGCCCTTGTCCAAGCCATGTTCTTTCACAATCCAAAAGGTGAGTCATGGAGCTATAGAACTGCATTTTGCCAGTTGAACTGCCGCTGAAATGCTTAGCCCAAAATCATCTTAGTCGATCAGTTCACCACAGTAGCTACCTGGTTCCTACTAATTATTACTTAATTTATTACTTAACACGTAGATCAAATAGATAGACAGATAGATAAACATATAGATAGATAGATAGAGATAGAGAGATAGATAAATAGATAGATAGATAGATAGATTCGGTCAGATTAGACTAGATTATTTGGTAGATAGATAGTCTTAGATAGATAAATATGATAGATGGATGGATAGATAAACAAACAAATAAACAATAACACAAATAAAATAAATAGACTGATAGATAAATCAATAGGTCAAGCAAATCATACACACTGGGCAACTGGGCAAGTCGACTCTTCTCATCTTACATCAAAATACATATATGTTTCATACATGTTTTAGAACAAATCCATGGCACAATAAACCACCTTGTGCGCAACGAACCCTCCGCCCTCCGTGCCTCCTGTTTGGGATCTTTCGAGCGGCTGCGAACCTTCAAACAGCAACTGCAGGAGGATCGAAATCCAGTCATATCATGACCATTCATGACCCATGAAGTCCCAAAACATGATGGATTCCTAGCAACTGATTTTTTCCCCCAAACGTAGAGAGAACGTCGGTGCTCTGGCGACGCGTGGCTGCGAACATTCATCTCTCAACACATCCTTCTCCGGAGTGTGACTCTTTTGTAGTCGACGTTTTGTATCGTTTTGTCTCCGTGGAGTTGACTTTTGAGTTGATGAGATCAGGGTATTGGACCTCCCCCTGTTGTCGTCCGCTGCAGGAAACCGAAAAAGTTTCAGACTGAAATCCACAGCATACGCTAAAATTTGAGAGGCCATGTGTGATGTGGGGTCAGGTTGGCAAATCAAACATGCATGTCTCTCTCTCTCTCGCTCTCTCTCCCTCTGGCGAGTATGGCTGTCAATCAGCCGTCCCACACGCATGTGTTAGCGTGTGAATTGAAACTGGTTGCAACTTTGGGGGTGTAAAGGTCTGTAAAGGGATGTGCATATTACTGTTCGGACATTTTGTCCGATAAAACTTATGAAACTTGACACCCCAAATACATCCAAATACTATACAATCCGGTCCCCTCTGAAGTGGTTCCAATGAACTAGCTGAGGGAACAAAGTCGTCAAGAAAGCTCCCAGCTCCTCTCTAGAGTAGAGTGGTGGAGCCATAGGAAAACAAAGAAATGCAAGGGAAGGGCACCTTTAAGAAGACCCCCTGCTCAGTGGCCCCTTTTCAAAAATGGCCATAGAACCATCCTCTTGGTCCTCTCCGATGTGCGTGCTCGCTCGGGTCGCCTGCTTGACCTCTGGCACAGGGCTGATAGCCTCCATGCGAGCGATGGCACTCGACCAAAGCGACGAGGAGATCAACGACAAGGAACCTCGAGCATCCCTCACGTTCTAAAAACACACACACATCACCTTTAAAACAGTCGAGCTAATGATCCGTGTATCTCAAAGTAAGGATCAAGAACATTCTGCAAACAGTTCGACATCCGTTCTACATCCTGGAGAAGCCGTTTGGATACACGCGCTGCAGTCTACTGTGTCCATCACAATATAAACATATAAAAATGCATATTGGTGCAAATGCCACAAACCAAGGCTGAACAACGGTCCAGTAACCTACTTCTGCAAACGAGCTGGGCAAGGCAGGCAGCAGGTCTTTTCTTCTTGGCCACAAGTGAGGAGTGGTGTGTTTGGAGGAGAGTTGTCAAGCTTCAACACTTCCCCAGGAAAACACAGCCAAATGCGCAAAACAATACATTGATAAAACACAGGCAATTGCCCAGCAGACTTCGTCGCGCAAGTGCTTCCGACGGTGGTCGACAGTGCGTTCTCCACGCCATGTCTCGAAAAAGTGTTGACACTCAGTAAATAACATCAGCATTCGTAAGAAAGTGCTCAAATTGCTGACTGGACTCACGCTGAGCAAAAAATTTGCAGATGCCCTGCCAAACTGCAACACTTCTGCAATGAGTATAACATATCAATGGGGCTGAGAGCTTTGCATGGCAACTGTCTCAATCCGCATGAATGGGGATTGTGGTGCGAATTCACAAGCCAATGGTGAATCGGGCACACTTGGTGGGTTCTTCCTCCGACTCCGAGATCATCAAAACACATTTGGAAGATGCTCTGATTTCCCCCTCTGGAGTGCAGGAGCCATCGAAGTTCTCCTGGTCAGGAATGTTTGGAAACTTCTGTTCTCGACTGAGCACGACAAAATCGGTGAAGCTCTTAGGGTTGAGCCGCATTGCCCCAAGTAATTGCTTCAAGTGGACCTCATGCAAAGGCCCTGATCCTAATGTGTTGCGGCTTTTCGTCAAGATTAGCCACTGCGACTCATCCATTGGCGTTGCAAACATCACACTTGGGCCAAATATGCCGTTCTGTCGCGAAACACCCATCGTGTTGAACATGCTTGACAAGCAACCTGAAGCCTCCTGCATCTCTCAAATCGTGTTAAACATGGACAACCCTTAAAATCCAAAGAGCATATATATATAATATTAGGTAAAAAATATGGTACACCCCCTATAGACTTACCTTTTTCTAGATTTTTAATGGTACTTGCAGGTGTTTTCATACATGTTTGAGGTTTGGATTTAATACATAAGTTTGGACCTGTATCAAGCAAACTTTTGTAGACCTTGGAGTTGTTTTTATGATTTACTTGCAGATGACGAAAACATGCAAGAAATTGCAATTGTTCTTTGGCCAAATTTGTGCTAAGTACAGGGATTCAAGATTCAAGATTCAAATAGAACTTCTTGGATCCCCAGCCCAGGATTCAAGATTCAAGATCCAAGATTCTAATAGAACTTCTTGGATCCCCTGCCCAGGATTCAAGATTCAGATTCAAATAGGGCTTCTTGGATCCCCAGCAGGAATCTTGAATCTTGAATCCTGGGCTGGGGGTCGAAGAGGTTCTGCTTGAATCTTGAATCTTGAATCCTGGGCTGGGGGTCCAAGAAGTTCTGCTTGAATCTTGAATCATGAATCTTGAATCCTGGGCTGGGGATCCAAGAAGTTCTATTTGAATCTTGAATCCTGGGCTGGGGATCCAAGAAGTT